TACCAGGGGCGAGGTCGGGGCAGAGCCGAGGGAGGGCCGGGGCAGGGCTGCGACAGGTCCGGGACTGGGTCGGGGCCGTGACAGGGCCGGGACAGGGTCGGGGCCGAGGTAGGTCCGGGACGGGGCCGGGACAGGGTCGGGGCCGGGGCAGGTCCGGGACGGGGCCGCGACGGGGCCGGGGCAGGGCCGGGACAGGGTCGGGGCCGGGGCCGGGGCAGGTCAGGGACGGGGCCGCGACGGGGCCGGGACAGAGTCGGGGCCGGGGTGGGTCCAGGGCAGAGCCGGGACAGGGGCCGCGACGGGGCCGGGGTAGGGTCGGGGCAGGTCCGGGACAGGGCCGGGGTAGGGCCGCGACAGGGCCGGGGAAGGTCGCGACGGGGTCGCGAAGGGGTCGCGACGGGGTCGCAGCAGGCGACGAGGGGGGGCCGTGTAGGGGCCGGGTAAGGGCCACGTAGGGGCCGCGTAGGGGCCGCGTAGGGGCCGCGTAGGGGCCGTGTAGGGGCCGCGTAGGGGCCGCGTAGGGGCCGCGTAGGGGCTGCGTAGGGGGCCGGGTAGGGGCTGGGTAGGGGCCGCGTAGGGGCCGCGTAGGGGCCGCGTAGGGGCCGCGTAGGGGGGCCGGGTAGGGGCCGCGTAGGGGCCGCGTAGGGGCCGCGTAGGGGCCGCGTAGGAGGGTCGCGACAGGGTCACGATGGGTTCGCGCTAGGCGACGAAGGGGCCACGTAGGGGCCGTGAAAAAAAAAAAAAAAAAAAAATTAGGGCAGGGCGCGAGACTCGCTTCGGGCAGCTAAAAAAAAATTGTAAGGGTGGACCCTTAGGAAGGAACGGTCCCATGAGGGAACCCGCTCTATACCATGTGAGAATTAACAGGAATGAATGACTAGAAAATGAGTTGGGTACAAATATGAAACCCTAAGAGACTGTACCCCCATAGTGTCTACCCCACTACAGCCTAAACAGGCTATGTGATTAACATTCGACAGGCTTCACTGGGTATTTTTTTTCCGAAAACCGGGCTCTGTCCAATGACATCACCTTTCAAAGCTAACTTCTCGTTGCCTTCGAACTTGGAGTCCCCAAACCAGCACCTAACCTCGAGGTCCCCGCCTAGCTAGGTCCTTTGTACACCTAGCCCTCGCCAATTTCACGCCCAACAACCCCTTTCGGAAAGCACCCCGAACCCGATTTTGGCTTGACCAATGAACTCCCAGAATTTGAGGGCTATTGTTGAAAACAGAAGTAGCCTAGATTTAGGAGAAACCTAGGCTAGGAGGAAGAGTTTCGAGAGGAAGAGGGGTTTCACTAACAATGAAGATACAAGAGATAGAAATCATGGGAAGGTGGAGAAAGGGGGTACACCACCAATAAATATAATAGAATGTGATACTACACTAACTAGATTGAATGCAGTTATATAAAGAATATATTTCTTACCGTAAGCCCCCGGATAGAAGCGCAGGCCTCAGATAAGCTCCAGCACTTATAAAAGGATGACGGCGCTTATATCCGGTCCTCGATTATAAGCCCACCCCCTAAAAAAAGATGATTTATTATAAGCGCATGTTGGTTTTTCATTTGAAAACCTGACGAAATACAGAAACAAATTTCACATCATGAGGGAAACGAACTGTCAGAGGTCCACTTGTGATCCCCGATTGATCCTAGGGAAGGGTTACAAGCATGTTGGCATGGGGGGTTATGGGCGTACTGACCCGCTACTTAACAAGCGATTTTATCCCAATGGTCTAGTGGTTGGGATTCTTACACGAACTACAAATTCGATTCCCCACACTCTGATCTCACTTTTTACGCGTCTAGTCAGCATGTGCTGTCATTCTGTCAGTTTGAGTTGGCAGGGAATCACTCCTTGCCAAGCTGTGCGAGAATCAGATTCGCGACCCTATATGTTTTCGACTCGATTACAATCGGCAGAACGAGATCTACTGTCTCCGATAGGTAGGAAGGAATTGTTAGAATCAGGAACGGAAAGAATGAACTAGGAAGCAGGTGGGTACAAGTAGGAAACCTAAAAGTGTTGTACCCTATATGAACTACCCCACTACAGCCTAGATAGACTATAGTATATAAGTTTGACACACCCCCATAGGCAAAGTGGGGGAGAACAAGAGGTCACAAGACCAGTCAAGAAAAAAAAAAAGCAATCTCAGGGTGGATCACAAAGTCACCACGCAGTCTGAGCACAAGAAAATGGCCACAAGGCCAGTTCACATGCAGAGTTATATATAGGAGAACAAACAATACAGTGAACACAACCTAGCAAGTGTAAACATGCAGGTATATGTGTAGAGAGTACAGTACAAGCAAAGTCAAGAAGTAAGCAAGTGAGGCACAGTAGGTACAAGGTTGAAGTGCCTTGGTGAAAACATCAGCAGTGTTGGCCTGAGAGGCCACGTAAGCAAGACAAAGCTGACCACGCTGCTGCAACTCTCGAGCAAGGAAGTAGCGCAGAGCAATGTGCTTCGTTCTGTGCTCCAGTCTGTGCTCCTGACACAAGGCCAGCATGGCCTTGTTGTCCACGTACAGAACTGGAGGAGAACGAGGCGCCTCTCCCAAGACGGTCAGCAGGTAGGTGAGCCAGCGTAACTCCTGTGCAGCCATGGCCCCAGCGTAGATCTCAGCCTCACAACTGGAGCTGAGAACAGAAGAAGAGCGGGTAGACCGCCAAGAAACAGAGCCGGAACCAAGACTGAAGGTGTAACCCTGTGACGACCGCTGCGTAGCCAAGTCGTCAACCCAGGAAGCATCTGCGTGACCAGTGAGGACAACTCGAGCCCGTCCTCCAAGTACGAGCCCCATGCCCGACGAACTGCACAGGTAGCGCAACACCCTCTTCGCAGCATCCCAGTGCACCTTTCGGTGTGTCGACCGGGAGCCACGTAGCGAGCCAGAAGGCTGAGAGGGTATGCGAGGTCAGGTCGTGTGCAAGTCATCAGGTACATGAGGAAGCCCACAAGCTTTGGATACGAGCCACTCGGCTCTACGGACTCGTCCGAAGGTGGAGCTCAGAGCGAGTGACATGTAGGCAGAGGAGTGGACTGTGGCGAGGAGTACGTGAAGCCGAAGCGCTGAAGGACCTGCTGCACCATGTGTGACTGAGTCAAGGTAATGGTGCGCTGTGCTCTGTCCCGGGTGATCCGCAAGCCAAGATAGCTTGTCAGTTCACCCAGGTCTGTGCACGTGTGTCTCTTCTGCAGCTCGGACTTCACGTGGGCGAGTGCCTCAGTGTCAGCAGTAGCAAAGACGATGTCGTCTACATACACGAGAACGTAGAATGGCGGCAGAGTGGTGTCAGTGCGTAAAAACAGTGACGGGTCAGCAATGGAAGAAGCAAAACCAAGAGTAGCAAGAGTCGTCCTCAGTGTGTCGTGCCACTCACGGGGTGCCTGGCGGAGACTGTAGACTGGCCGCCGGAGGCTCCACTGGGCACCAGCAGGAAACGACCCAGTGAAGCCAGGTGGGCGGCGCAGCCAGATCTCCTCGTGCAGGCTGCCCTGTAGGAAGGCTGTGCTGAAGTCAAGCGAGTGGAGCTCGTAGTCACGCTGAGCGGCGACGTGCAGCAGTACCCGAAGAGTGGTCATCTTCGGGGTAGGGGAGAAGGTCTGGAAGAAGTCAACTCCCTGTCGCTGACTGAAGCCACGTGCAACGTAACGTGCCTTGAAGACAGGCAGAGAACCCAGCGGCCGCTTCACCCTGAAGGTCCACATGCCACTGACGATGTTCGCCCCAGGTGGGGGAACCTTGTCGACGTAGGTGCCTGTGGACTTCCAGGAAGCCATCTCGGCATCCATGGCTGCCTGCCACTGAGAGGAGTAGGGACCCTCTATTGCCTCTGCGTAAGAGCGCGGGGTCGGGATGTCTGGTGCATCCGGGTCTCCCTCAGGGGCAAGCAGTATGGACATGAGATGAGGTACAGTAGCGGCAAAGTACTCAAACTCCTCATGTCTGTCCTCAAGAACGTCCGTGCCAAGAGCACACTCACCCCCAACGGACGGAGGACAGACAGACGCAGACGCAGACTCAGCAACAAGACTAGCGGCGTAGTCTAGGCGACAGGTGCAGCAAAGTCAACAAGCTCAGCAACGAGAGCAGACGCAGCAGTGGACTCAAACAAAGGGTCAGTGACAGCAGTGGCCAGAAAATGCGTGACAGTAGGACAAGCAGCACGAAGGGAGTCAGACTCCGGGTCCAGACCGTCAAGCAGAGAGGACGTAGGAGGAGACGGCAGAGGGACACGCTATGGAGCAGTGGAAGGACGCAGAGTCATAGAGTGAGTGCCAGGGACAGGAGGAGGACGCGGACGCGAAACACGACGACCAGCGCGAACAGTGCGGACATGCGACTCAGAACGAGACTCGGGCGACACAGGACGCGACTCAGGCTCACGACGCTCCGTAAGACCTCTAGTCGGTCCAGAGTAAGGAGAAGGATTAGGCGGTGGAGAGGCCGGCTAGAACTGTGACTGTGACTGGACAGGCGGTGGACTCAGTAAAGGAGGAGTAGGACCAGGAGAAGGCGGTAGACCAAGAACCTGCTGAAGGAGCAGAACGTAGTACGGCCGCGGCCGCGCAGCACCTCCAGAAACAGCAGAGACAGCACCAGTACCCTCAGCTCCAGGGTCTCCACTAACAACTCCCGCAGCACCACCAGCTCCAGTACCTGCAGCTCCAACGTCTGCAGCACCACCAGCCCCAGCAGCTCCCGTACCTCCAGTACGAGCACCTCCAGGACCAGCGGCTCCAGCAGCTCCAGCACCAGCAGCACCTCCAGCAACACCAGCACCAGCAGCACCTCCAGTAGCTCCAGCACCAGCAGCACCTCCAGCAGCTCCAGCACCAGTAGCACCTCCAGCAGCTCCAGCACCACATCCCCACATCCCCACCCCCAACCAACCACCCGCCCTCAACCTCACCCCCCATTTCAGTCGCCCCCTGGAACCGCACTCCCTCCACCCCTGTCTTCCTCCATACCTCTCCCAACCCACGATGGTCCCTGTACAGTCTTTCACAGGTGGGCTGCTGGGCACAGGTGGGGCTGCTGGTCACAGGTGGGGCTGCTGGTCACAGGTGGGGCTGCTGGTCACAGGTGGGGCTGCTGGTCACAGGTGGGGCTGCAGGTCACAGGTGGGGTTGCTGGTGCTGGTGCTGGCGGCTGGCGCTGGTGCTGGTTCCTGGTGCTGGCAGCTGGCACTGGGGCTGGTTCCTGATGCTGGCGGCTGGCGCTGGGGCTGGTTCCTGGTGCTGGCGGCTGGCGCTGGTGCTGGTTCCTGGTGCTGACGGCTGGCACTGGGGCTGGTTCCTGGTGCTGGCGGCCGGCGCTGGGGCTGGTTCCTGGTGCTGGCGACTGGCGCTAGGGCTGGTTCTTGGTGCTGGCGGCTGGCGCTGGGGCTGGTTCCTGGTGCTGGCGGCTGGCGCTGGGGCTGGTTCCTGGTGCTGGCGGCTGGCGCTGGGGCTGGTTCCTGGTGCTGGCGGCTGGCGCTGGTGCTGGTTCCTGGTGCTGGCGGCTGGCGCTGGTGCTGCACACGCAAACAGTCGCAACGGGGGGGGGGGGGGGGTGACGGGCAGGGGGCGGGGGGAATGCGACGGGCAGAGCGGGCGAATGAGCGGCTGGGGCGATCGCCAGTGCTCTGGCGATCGTCGCTGGCGTTCCCCCGTCACTCCTATCCCCTCTTCCCTCTCGCCCCCACAGAGTTCCGCCGCCACTCCCATCCCTTCTTCCCTCTCCCCCCCACAGCGACCGCCGGTGCGACGGGCGAGGTGCAAGGTGGCGCTGGCTGCAGTCGATGGCGCAAACGCGATCGCGGGCCGCTGGCGACTTCGCCATAGCGTCCACCGCGCCCGTCGCGCTGAGAGCCGCGACGAGGCAGGAGACGGGGGGCAGCGCGAGCAGCAGGGAAAAAAAAAAAGATACGCAAGGTGCGGATTTCGCGCCACTAACTGTAGCAGTCGCGAAATGTGGTGGGCCCATAAACGAAATAGGTCCTAGGACGGACCACTCTGTTACCATGTCATGAGACGAACTTAGCTAGGAACGGGTTTAACTAAGGGCCTAGGCTTAGTAGCCTAGGCCAAGCGGGTGTCGAGGGAGTTGTGCCAAGAGAGAATCGAGAATGTGTGTCTTCACTATAGGTTTGCAAGAACATATAGCAAAGAAACAAAGAGGTGCACCACCACAACAAAGAAACATAACTACACTAAAGCTAAAGCTACAGGCAGTTATAAACATATATAAATATATATCGCGACACCAGTACCAGCAGCACCTCCAGCAGCTCCAGCACCAGCAGCACCGCTAGCAGCTCCAGCACCAGCAGCACCAGTAGCACGGCGACAGCGTCGAGCGTACCACTCACGAACCCGCTGCGGAGAGAGGGGCTCTCGCCGCAACGGGACACCCGGAGAACCTCCAGACTCAGCACGCGCAGGCTCAGCACCCCCAGGCTCCACACGCTCAGGCTCATCACCCCCAGGCTCCACACGCTCAGGCTCAGCACCCCCAGACTCCACACGCTCAGGCTCAGCACCCCCAGGCTCCGCACCCCGAGTCCCCGCACCCGCAGGCTCAGCACCCCTAGCAGCACCTGAGTCGACAGCTACCTCGACCGGCTCGGCAGGGTCTACCTGAGACACACCTGAGGGGCAGGACCCTGAGGGGGGAGGGGGTCTACCGGAGGAGTACCTAGTGCTAGGAAGAGTGGCGGGGGGGGGGGGGAGAGAGGCAGTGCGGTAGGGAAAGAGACGGTAGTAAGACACCGACTCGTCAAACGTGACGTCCTGAGAGGACAGAACACGACGCGAGGTGGGGTGGTAGAACTGCCACCCGGGTGCGTCAGGGGGGGAGCCAAGGAAGACGCAGGGAACGGCACGGGAGGATAGCTTGTCCGCTGAAGTATCGCGGACAAAAGCTCGAGATCCCCAGACACGGGACGCAGACGCATTGCCAACCTTCCCCGTCCACCTCAGAGTAGGTGTGGTCTCAGGCAAGGAGACACGAGGCTGAAGGTTGATCTGATGCGCAGCGTACTGAACCACGAACGGCCACAGAAAATGGGGAGCAGCCGCATGGATCATGGACATACGAGCGACGTCCATGACCATGCCAATGCGGCGCTCAGCAATCCCATTTTGCTGTGGGGAGGCCGGAAGCGTGAACGTCTGGCGGATGCCCTCCGCACGACAGAAGGCCCTCAGGAGGTCGGAGGAAAACTCACCACCTCTGTCTGAGTGCAGACGCAGAACAGGAAGGTCCGAGCCGAAACGCTCGCTGAGCTGGCGACGAGCACCGCGGATCCAGTCGATCAATACCTCAGGGATCTCACCCTTGCTGCGCAAGGGGAAGACTGTGGTGTAACGCGAGTAGTCGTCAACGACCAGCAGGAAGTAACGCTCATGACCCTGTCCACGGACGCGGGCTGGGCCCCACACGTCCATGTGAAGATTCTGCAGAGGAGCCTCTGTCAGAGGGAACGTGGAGGAGTGAGGAGCGGCGCGCTGCCGGCCCTCGAAACAAGGAACATAGGTAGGGGCAGGCCCCAGAGGAAGGGGAGGGAGGGACCGGGGTAGACCCGAGACAAGGGTACGGGAGGCCATACCTTGAAGACGAGGCAGGGAGGGGTGACCAAGGCGGTGGTGCCAAAGGAGAGTCTCGTGCGACAGAGGACGACACGAGCAGGGGGCAGACGGAGGACTAGACCTGGACGCTGGAGCAAACACCTGACTAGACGCGGCTACCTGACCAGACGCAGAGACCGGAGGAGACGCAGTGGTTAGTGTGTACAGACTCGACCCTGGCCGACGGGTGAACGTGGCCAGGTGGCGGCCCGTCCGATAGCAAGTGCAGTGGGTCACACGCTGACCTCCAAGGGCGAACTGGTCAACCCACGCGTCCTGGAGGTCAGCTCCACTCACCAAGTTCGTAGAGAACGAGGGGAGGTGGAGTCCCGACAGCAAGCCCGACGGGGCCGAAGGACACGGTAGAACCGTGGAAGAGTGCGCAAGGACTGGGCCCCCACGAGGGTCAGCCAGGGAGACTGCGACAGGCCGACTAAGCGGCGTGAGTGTGGTGCTGTCGCGAAAGAAAGAGCGCGAAGCACCAGAGTCAAGTGTGAAAGTGTGCAAGGCCTCAGTAGGTGCATTACCAGAGAGAGCAGACTCACCAGCACCTGGAGCAGCAGTCTCACCAGTACCTGGAGCAACAGACGCACTAGCACCTAGAGCAGCAGCCTCAATGCCCGGGTCGGGCGGGACACTCAGGTAACAGTCACCCTCAGCACTATCAGTCAAAGCATACATGGCAGCAAGGATAGCATCGAAATCAAGATCAAAGATAGCCACATTCTGCCTAAGCAGATCACCCCAGCGAGGGAGCTCAACAGCGTCAGGAAACTGGGCGCGCCAGGCGTCAGTCAAGCGACCGAAGCAGCGCTGCGCAGTGTGTGGCTTCCTGCACGTCTCCCCACGACGACTGCCGGTGCGAAGAACGTAAGTGCAGGGACCAGCACCCCCAGACCTCCCACGCCCAGCGTACCACTCACGAAGCTGCTGGGCCGACGGGGTCTCACGGGAACGCGGCTGCTGCTGGCGCTGGCTACCACCAAAGCCTCCACGCTACGCGGCTGCACCTCGACCAGCACCACCGCCACCGCCACCTCTGCCACCGCTGCCGCTGCCTCCACCACCGCTGCCGCTGCCTCCACCACCTCCGCCGCTGCCTCCACCACCTCCACCGCCGCCACTGAAGCCCCCACTCCCGGCACCACCCCCACCTCCACCGCCACCCCCTCCGCCTCCTCCACCGCCTCCGCCGCCGCCCCCGCCATCCCCTCCACCACCCTTGCTCCCCTTGCCCTTGCTGTTGCGGCGCCTCCCACTGGGAGCAGACGCAGCCCCGACGTCCTCAGTGCCAACGAGGTCGACAGCAGCAGCAGAAGCAATATATGGGAGAAGGGGGACAGGGGAACACCCCTCAAAGAAAGGGGTGCGACGGTCGCCGCGAGAAGCACCTACAGCTAAGATACTCTTCTCAGCTGCAGCGAGGCACTCCTCTAGCAGGTCGACAGTGAGCTCGGTGGTGCAAAGGGAGAGAAAGTGGTCCTTGACTGAAGCAAGGGAGTCAGGGAGGCGGGTGACTAGGTAGTAAAGGGTGATGTACATGGGGGGGGGGGTTCTTGGCACATAACTCAGTGGGAAGGGCAGCGCGGTAGCGGGCGTCACTAGTGCGGAGGTGAGTAATGAGGTCAGCGACTGTGGCAAAGGCGGCAAGGTTAGGGAAAAGGTACAGCAGCATTAGGCGGCTGAGGGCAGCAGTGGCAGGGGAGGAGTAGCGCGCAACTACAGCGTCGTACAAAGACTGAGCAGTCTTGTACTGGCCAAAATGCGTGCGCTCAGCAGGTGGCAGGTGACTACGAACAGCAAGGTGAGCAACAGCGTCACGAGTGGTCCACTGCGAATGAACAGTACTGTCAGCAGTGGCAGCAGGAGCTGTGGAGACACCGGACGTGTGATCGAAAAGGGATACCCCATCCCTAGAGTCACACTAAAGAAAGAGCTGCAGGTCGTCAACCCACACGTCAAAGTCAACTGCACGCCCCTCAGCATCAAAGGTGAGAACAGTAGGGCTAGCCATAGTAGCAGTAGCAGCAGTAGCAGCAGGAGCAGTGCAGGCAGGGCAGTGCGGCGCAGTAGGGCGGCGCGGTTAGGTAGGGCGACGCGGCTCGGTAGGGCGGCGCGGCTTGGAAGAGCGGCGCGGCTCGGTGGGCGGCGCGGCTCGGCTAGGCGGCGTGGCTCAGCTCCTGGCGGCGCGGCGCAGCAGGGCGGCGCTGTCAAACATTATATGTTTATATTGTGTAGGCTATAGTGGGTTTAGCCTTAGGGGGTACAGCTTTGTTAGGGTTTCCTACTTGTATCCCCCTCCTACCTAGTTTCATGCATTCTCGTTCTATTCTAGATTCTAACATGGTATCACGAGCCTAGGTTGCTACCTAGAACCGCTTTCTACTATGGGCCCACTATTCCGCTAGAAGCGCCCTCGTGCGCCTTTCTCTGCTAGTGCGCCTTCGTGCGCCCTCGTGCGCCCTCGTGCGCCTTTCTCTGCTAGTGCGCCTTCGTGCGCCTTCGTGCGCCCTCGTGCGCCCTCGTGCGCCTTCGTGCGCCCTCGTGCGCCCTCGTGCGCCCTCGTGCGCCCTCGTGCGCCCTCGTGCGCCCTCGTGCGCCCTCGAGCGCCCTCGTGCGCCCTCGAGCCGCCCCTGCAGGTCCGTCAGGCCCCCGAGCCGCCTCTGCAGACCCGTCAGGCCCCCCCCGAGCCGCCTCTGCAGGCCCGTCAGGCCCGAGAGCCGCCCCTGCAGACTCGTCAGGCCCGCGCGCAGCCTCTGCCCGACCGCGCGCCGCCCCTGCAGGCTCTCGCCGCCCGCCGCGTCGCCCTGCCCGCGGCGTCGCCGCCTGCCCGCGGCGTCGTCACCTGCCCGCGACGTAGCCCCTGCCCGCGGCGTCGTCGCTTGCCCGCGGCGTCGTCGCCTGCCTGCGGCGTCGTCGCCTGCCCGCGACGTAGCCCCTGCCCGCGACGTCGTCGCCTTCCCGCGGCGTCGTCGCCTGCCCGCGGCGTCGTCGTCTGCCCGCGGCGTCGTCACTTGCTCGCCGCGTCGCCCTGCCCGCGGCGTCGCCACCTGCTCGCGGCGTCGCCCTGCTCGCGGCGTCGTCACCTGCTCGCCCCGTCACCTGCCCGCCGCGTCACCCTGCCCGCGGCGTCGCCACCTGCCCGCCGCGTCGCCCTGACCTAATCCGCGCCTGGCCTCTGGAGCAGCCGCCCCTGCAGCAGCCGCCCCTGGCCA